AAAGAGCTTAGTAAAGCATGTTGGTGGTCCAAATAGTGCCCATAATGAAGCTTGGATTAAATGTCAAGCTTTAATGAAGCAAAAGCAACATATAGATGTTGTTTCAAAACAATATGATCAAGTCAAGGAGGATTATCATATTCACTTGCCAGCAACAATCAATTGCATTCAATTACTTTACGTCAATGTTTGGCATTTCGGGGCCATGATGAATCAGAACATTCTAATAATCAAGAAAACTTTCTTGAGCTTATACATTTTGCTTCAAGTCTAAATGTTGCTTTTGGTATTGTTTTGAAAAGAGCTTGTGGAAATCTCAAACTAATAGCACCTAGCATACAAAAGGATATTGTGAGTGCTACTACTAATGAAACTACTCAAGTTATTATCAATGATCTTGGTGATGATTTATTGCCTATTTTGATTGATGAATCTCATGATATATCAATCGGAGCAAATGGACATCGTGTTGCGTTATGTGGATGAGAAAGGACACGTCATTGAACGTTTTCTTCGGATTGTTCATGTTTCTTCCACTACCGCATTATCCCTTTAAGGAGACAATTAGTCTTTATTTTCAAAATATGGAATAAGTTATCAAGAATTCGTGGTTAACATTATGATGGTGCTAGCAACATGCAAGGGGAATTTAATGGTCTCAAAACATTGATAATGAAGGAGAATAGGTCTGCTTTCTATCTCTATTGTTTCGCACATCAACTTCAACTAGCACTTGTAAGTGTTGCAAAGCAACAAACTGAGATTGCTTTACTTTTCACGATACTTAATAATTTGGTTAATGTTGTTGGAGGTTCATGTAAGCATCGAGATATTCTTCGAGAAAAGCAAGTTACCAAGACCTTCGAATGTTTAGAAAATGGTGAACTTTCTAGTGGAATTAAATCAAGAAACATCTCTCCATCGCGCTGGAGATAATCGTTAGCGTTCGCATTATGAGATGTTAGTCAACTTGATCCCAATGTTCTCATCTGTCATTGAGGTGCTTGATACTATTATCAAATATGTCACAACCTCAGCAAAAAAGCAGAGCAAGTGCTTTATTATACTTCATGCAATCTTTTGAGTTTGTGTTCGACATGCACTTAATGAAAAATATATTAGGATTTAGGAGTCACACATGAGTTATCTCAAACCCTATAGCGCAAAGATCAAGATATCAATAACGCTATTGCTTTGGTTGAAGTAGACAAGCAACGACTACAAGGGAAGAGAGATGACGAGTAGGAATCTCTATTGAGTGATGTTTCTTTATTTTGTAAGAAACATGATATTCATATTCCCAATATGGATGACATGCTTGTGCTTCATGGACGACCACAACATAATGCTGAGAAAGTGACAAACTTGCACCATTTTCATGTAGAAATTTTCTATCAAGTGATTGACAAGCAACTGCAAGAGCTTAACAATCGCTATACAGATGCTAACACCAAGTTGCTTACTTGTATGGCTTGTTTGAGCCCAATGGAATCATTTTCTACTTTTGATAAGAGAAAATTGATTTGTTTTGCTGAGTGTTATCTATCATAGTTTCATTCAATAGATGTTGTGGTTTTTGATAATCAACTTGAGAATTATATCCTCGATGTGCGTTCACATAATCAATTTTCAAAGCTAAACAACATTGGTGATCTTTCCAAAATGTTAATAGAGACAAAAAGGAACAACGTAAATCCTTTGGTGTATTTGCTTCTGTAGTTAGCTTTGATCTTACCAGTTGCAACTGCAACTGTGAAGTGAGCATTTTCTACAATGAAAATTGTTAAAAATCGTTTGCGTAATAGTATAGAGGATGAATGGATGAATGATAGTCTCGTTATATATATTGAAAGAGATGTGTTTGATAGTGTTGCAACTAAAAACATCATGCAACATTATCAAAATATGAGAAATCGTCAAGAGCAATTGTAAAAGTACACATCAATATATCTTTTGGTTTATTTTATTGTAAAGCAAATTGTCGACATCCTTCTTGATATTTACAAGACAATCTTTTATCAAGTACTTAATGCACATTGAGTGTTTGATTTATGAGTTTGATCTTGATATACATTTGTTTATGATATATAACAAATATATTATAATAAAATCACAATATTAAATTTAGTATAATATTTAAACTGGCAAATTTGTATTTTTTTGATTTCATTAGTAAAAGTAAATAATTAATGAAAATACCCATATTTTTTTATTTATCATATTGTAGGCAAAATATGTTGCAATTTAGTTGAGAGCGTACATTGAATGCATCGCCATCAGGCACTATAAGTTTTTAATTTATATTTTTATTGTTAGGCAAATAGATACTTATCCCCCCTCCCCCAAAATGAAAATATTTTTGGATCCGCCACTGGATAAAATCTCTTTCTCCCATCCTCTCACAAGACAATTTCTTATCCATGTGTCCCTCCTTCAACTAATAAAAAGGACTGGCACGATGTATGACATGTAGTTAAGTAATTGAACGAGAAAGATTTTTTTTTTAAGTTAGGCCATTGGAACTCCGTCTTGTGGGACTGCCCGCCTCCTTCAAAAGCACATCTCCCCTCCCCTTTAGATTTAAATTGTTAAATTTAATTACAATTTAGATCATGATCTGTGATTCAATTTCTTTGCATTAGGTTTCAAAATAAGTATGAACAATGAAGTTGAAGGTAGGGAGGACTAGGAGGAATAAGAGACAGGTTGTAGAGGACAGACACTCAGACACGGAGGAGATCTACAAACTGAAGGTGGGAGCTGAAGGGTATTCTTCTATGGAAGGCATCACTAGAGTCTTAAGGTAGGGTTTAATAATTGAGGATGTTCTTGTTTTCTATAAACGAAAAAAAACGCACAAACCAGTCTTAGCATACTTTGGGTGGAAATTTAACCAATGCATGAATAATGTTCGATTAAAATGTATTTCAAAAATCAATTAGAAATTCTCCATCTTGGACTCTATTAAAATTGATAATATATATATATATCTATATATATATATATATAATATATAATATATATAGATATCATATGTGTGTGGTGTGTTGTGTGTGTGTGTGTGGTGTGTCAACGTTACTAATATAAATATATCATAAATATATATATATATATAATATATATTATAATGTATATAATATATATATCATCGTATATCACACACACACCACCACACACACACACACAGCACAACAACACACATGATATATAATATATATTGTATGTATGTATTATGTATGTATGTCTATATTATATGTATGTATGTATGTATGTAATGTATTAATATAACTACATATATATATGATATATATATCTATAATATACATATACATTATACATATATGCATATCTTATAGTATGTCATATATGTATATTAACATAATACATACATAAACATATATGATAATATATATATATATATATATATATATATATATATATACTATATATATATATATATATATATATATATACATATATATAATACAATATAATATATATATATATCATATTATACTTATATATATTACATATACATACTTATATATATACATATATATATTATACACACACACAAACACACACACACACAACACACACACACATAACGTATATATATATATATATATTATATACTATATATATATATATTAAGAAATATGGATATGGGCTTTGGTACCAAAGCACGTAAAGTTGTGCTTTGGTTAGTGAGTGTCAAATCTCCCTGCATCATTCAAGTGTGGGAACAAATTCACACATGAGTATAGTAAGTTGGATGGGGGATGTGACAATCACTACCAAGCACAAAATTGTGCTTTTGTACAAGTCATACCATATTTTCTCTCTCTCTTCTCTTTCCTCTCTCTCTCTCCTCTATCTCTCTCTCTCTATATTTATTATATAACTATACTATATATATACTATTATATCTATATTAATTTACTAATATATTATATAATATATATATATATACATATATATATATATATACACACACACACACACACACACACACACACTTAATTTGATATGTTGTACACCTACAGAGCATGGATAATTTTATGATCAAATCTTACCCGCAAGGGTAACGACACTCCTTAAACACTTAGAAACATGCCTGATGCTTCTCAAACATGTCCTCAATTATACAACCACACGCTTTAAATTAGACCCACTTGTCAAACAATTCTTTTACACTTAGACCAACCTGTCAGAACATTCTTTTAAACATCTCCTATACTTCCATATATAAACATTAAATGTTTGAGAATTTTATTTATTTTCATTTGTATATAAAATACTATATTAGTAAAAAAAATTCATCAAACTAATAGCTTGAATATAACTATGAGTCTATGATAAGTTTATATGTATGTCTAGATACTCCATAGAAAGTAGAAACTTGAAGAGTTAACACTTATTCCTTTATAAAGTTATAAGAATGTACAGTAGGTTAATATGTTAGCTTGTATGCAATCCTTGTACGTTTTCTATTTATTAAAAAAACTATATAGACTTTTGTGCGCCCATAAATGTCCATGCATGTAAGTACCACATAAATTAGTACTACAACTTAACAATCACCAGCCTAAGCAACTAACTTAACACATTTTTCAACGCGCCAAACGAACCAGACGTATAGTTCCGCATATGAAATTCTAAAGGGAAAAAGAAATTGCTACAAAAAAGTCATGCTAAACCTCCCGCAAAAAACTGCTCTCCTCTGTGAGAACATGCTCCTGGCTCACACCTATATACGTCAAACCTTCTTGATATCTTATCCAAACTTTTCCCAACCGTCTCCAACTACTCGCAAAACTCCTTACACAGCCAATTAGCTCACCAAGCTCTCAATTCACTATTTCTTTTCATCTTTAAACTTTATTGCAGTTTTCTACATAACTGCATGATTATTATGCAGTTATTTCGATTAAGAACATTAAATAAGGTACAAGGATGATAGCAAAAATTTCAATCATTTGGCAAGTGAAGAAGTATACCTCCCAGTTCTCCCCCGCCTCAGCCGCCCGCTAAACCTCTCGACCAAAAGCTCGCTCTCCCTCTCGATAAAACCGAGCTCTCGAATGGCTACACTGTAAGTCAATGTCTCCTTCCTCAAAACCCTATCCTCGATCTCCCCAATCTTCTCCCATAACCCATTATACTCCTCCTCTGCGCCCCAAATCACACTCTCCAACCTCTCCAACTCCCCCTTGGCCTCCTCCTTTCCCTTCAAGATCCTATCTTTCTCCCTCTTTGCCGCCAGTGCCGAGTCAATTAAATCCCCCGACTTCCTCACGAGCTCCGCCTTCTCCCTCCTCAGCTCCCTCAGCTCCGAATTCAGCTCCTCAAGAACCTCCCCTTGAACAACTCCTTTCCTCTTCCTTCTTCACCTCCTTCAAGCGCCGCCTCACCCTCATTCCATCTCCTCTAACCGGACCTCCACCCCCTCAACCCTCTCCAGAGAACCGCCACCCCGCAAGCAGCCGCGTTCGCTTATAACTTGGCGAAAAAAAAAAGAACTGGTGCTCTGCTCAGTGGACGACTTTATCCCTTCCTCGATTTTGACATCCGGCGGTATGGTGGGGAGCGGCGACTGGAGCTGCAACGGCGGCGGCGAAGGGAAAGGCGAGGGAGCGCCATGGGAGAGGCTGAGAAGATGAGGAGGAGAGGCAGTGCGCCCGATAGCGAGCGAGGGGGGTTAGGACTTTTGGTTAGGGTTTGGCGGGTTTGGGGGATGGAATGACGGCCTGGATTTGCCGTGATGACGGGGAGGTCGGCGGCGGAGGGGGGAGGGAAGGGGGAGGCGAGAGGAGGAGGAGGAGAGAGAAGGGGAAGGGATGGGGAATGAGGGAGAGGAGAGGAAATTGGAGTGAAGGGACTCCATTTCTAGAGAGAGGAGGAGGAGGAGGTTAGGATTTCATGAGGGGTTTTGTAGAGGGAGGAGGGAGGTTTTAGATAGGATTTTATTTTCAGAGCAGAAGCTTATTATTAGTTTTCTCGCTGCCGCTCCGGTAGAGAATGGTGGAGGCTGGGGGCGCCACC